GGTTGGGTGTCAATCGTAATTAGTGTTGAAGGCCCCTCCCCCAAGCCAGCAAAGCTCCCCATGATTATTGTTTATCGTGCGGCCTTAATTTTGGCTTAATAGAGGGGGCTGGGGGCGGTGGTGGTGGTGGGATGGAGCGATCGAGGTTGGTTCGGCGGGCGGGCCGGGGGTGGCGGAGCGCTGACCTCTCTCATCCATCTCTCACGCACCCTCTCACGCACGCTGATCGCTCTCACTGGCAGAAAGCCGCGTGTCGCAAAGCTGCATTTCTACTCTGTACATCTTCTCTCTTTCTGTTTTTCCTCCCCCGACATCTCTGTCGCAATACGCATACATCAACGAAAACCATCGGAACCAACGTCGCTTTTCATCGGATGTCGGTCGCGTTCATCGGCGCTGCAGTTTTACAGCACTGCGGCATCGATTCCACTTGGGCTCCGTCTGTCCTTGAAGGGCTTGGGTTGGGCTGGGCTGAGCTGGACTGGAGACGTCCGTCGCACGGTTGATCGCCTACCTTACCTCGCCTTTTCCTTACTTTGGAGGGAGGGGCCACGGCGCAGAGGGGCGCGCGCGCGCAGCGAGCACAGCAGGTTTTGAGGGAGACTGCGTCGTGGTGTGCGTTAGGCACACGTACGCACACACCAAACTCTTTTTCATTTTCCCGACCTTTGCTTTGGGTCTTGCCATTGCATGCCCGTATTCTAAGGTTTTTACTGGTGTTCATCCATTGTTGGGAGAGGGAAAGACTGCCATTGCGTCCGATATCGTGAGACGCTTTAGATGGACCACACGTCCCCGTCCGCCCGCGGCAGCGGTCCGGAGGCCAAGGGTCCAGGGCCTGCGGGAGGAGGGGGAGATGGGGTGGGAGCAGGAGTTGCGTCAGTGTTGCCGGACGACATTTCTTCTGCATCTTCAATGTCGGACGAGGAGGATGCGGGCGGATATAGACCGCCGACACCCCCGCCTCAGAGTCACGGGCAGAAGCGGCCCCCGCCGCAGAAGAGGCATTCGCAGCAGCAGTACTCGCCTGTGCCTCCGCCAGCGCCGACGCCTTTGCAACCACGAGATTCGTTCAAGCCTGTCAGGGTTGAGAAACGGGAGCGAGAGAGGGACTTGCCGAGGGGGGATCGATATATCCCCCGGGACCGCGACGGAGACCGGGATCGAGATCGGGACAAGGACGACGACAGAAAAAGAGACAGAGATAGGGAGAGTCCTCGCCGCGAAAGGGACTTACCGACCAGCCGTGACAGAGATTGGGACAGCGAGAGCCCGCGGCGTGAAAGAGAGAGCCCGCGACGTGAGAGAGAGAGCCCGAGGCGTGAGAGAGAGAGCCCGAGGCGTGAGAGAGACGTCCCAAGAAGCCGCGATAAGGACTGGGACAGGGAAAGCCCACGGCGCGAAAGAGACGTTCCGAGGAATCGCGATAGGGATTGGGACAGGGAGAGTCCGCGGCGCGACAGAGACCGCGACAGGGACAGCCCGAGGGATCGCGACAGAGAACGGGACAGTCCGCCGCGGGACTTGAAGAGGCACAGCGTCGCGGCGGATCCCTCGCACTTCCGACGACCAACGGCGCCGCCGGCGAACGAGAGCACCCTCCACCACAACGGCAGCAAACGACAGAGCATCACGGAGCGGCTTATGAGCACGTGGCAGGCGCGCAAGGGAGGTGAGCCGCCGGCGGGGAATTCCCTCACGGCTCCCTCCCGGCGCGCCTCGTCCGCCTCCACGGCCGCGGGCAGGTTCAATCCCATCGCCCGCGTGCGCGAGTGGCTCGACACGTGCAACGCGGAGCACGGTGACCACTGCTCCGGCCCGCCGGGGGAGACGTGGCGGCCGCTGTGGCTGATCGACTCTGTCAACCGGTGCCTCGTGAGGGCGCGGGCGACGGACCGGTACATCGCGCTGAGCTACGTGTACGAGCCTCCGCTGCCGAGCACGAGGGGCCCCGTGGAGACGTTGAGGGAGAACCTGGACATGCTGACGGCGAGCCTGGACGATGCGGATATACCGCAGACGATCCTGGACGCGATGTGGTTGGCGAGGAAGGTCGGAGTGAAGTACCTGTGGGTGGACCGGTTCTGCATCGTGCAGGATGACGACGTGGAGAGGGAGGAGTACGTGAAGAATATGGCGTACGTGTTTGCGAATGCGTACCTCACGATCGTGGCTGCGGCAGGGGACGCGGAGAGCGGGCTGAATGGGCTGGTGAGGCGGACACCGGCAAAGGCGCCGCCGGGGAAGATGAAGCATGAGGATTTGATCCTCGGGTCGAGGTGGGCCACACGGGCGTGGACGGTGCAGGAGGGGATGTACTCGCGGAGGAAAGTGTACGTGTTCGAGGAGACGGTGACGTGGGAGTGCCATTGCGAGGTGTGGCAGGGGGCGCCCGGGGCCGGGGGCCGGTTCAGCAAGATACTAAAAGGGGGCAACAAGAACGCGCCGTGCTTGGCCCGGACGTTCCCTGCGGCGACGGGATTCCTACACCCCGTGTGGCCCGACATGGACGAGTACGCGCGGATCGCGATGGACTACAGCTCGAGGCGGGTGACGCTCATGTCCGACACGACAAGGGCCCTGCGGGGCATCACGACGGTCATGTCCAAGTCCTTCGCGGGCGGGTTCGTGTTCGGGATGCCGGTGTGCTTCCTGGACATCGCCATGCTGTGGCAGCCCCGTGCGATGATCAGGAGGAGGATGATGGTGCAGCCCGTCACGGGGATGAACCCGCTCCCGAGCTGGAGCTGGCTCGGGTGGCACTACGACGGGGTTCCCGCTGACATGTCGCTGTGGAGGGCGGCGGCGGATTACGTGCAGGACGCGCCGCCGGTCTCAGGAGGGGGCCGAAAGGAGAAGCGGTTCAAGAGCCCGTACGCGTTCCGGCTGAGGCCGTTGGTCAACTACGAGCTTACAGACCGGGCGACGTACACGCGGCTGCCGAACGACGGGCTGATGTTCCGCGATCGGCGGCACCGCAGGACGCAGCCGTTGCCGGCGGGATGGTCGAGGAGCGGCGGTGGCGGGTTTCGGTATGCGGGGGATCCGGAGTGTGTTTTCCGGTACCCGGTGCCGGTGGGGGAGATGAACGGGCCGGACGCGGCAGCGGTGCCGTTGGGGGATTACTCGATGAACGCGACGCTACTGTCGTTCAGCACCACGGTGGCATATCTGGAGGTCGACTTTGCGATGGCGAGGAACGCCGCGCCGGTGGATGGCAAAGGTGCTGCCGCCGCCGCCGCCGCTGGGGCTGCTGTCAATGGTGCTTCCGCGGTGGGAATCGCAGGGCCCGGGAGGGGATATGGCGTGCCGCTTGCGATCGGGAACATCTGGTCGCGGACGGGCAAGTGGTGCGGAAACGTGACGGCGCACGACAGCTGGCTCGGCCTGCAGGGGGCGAATCATACCGGGGAGGAGAAGCTGGAGTTCATCGCCGTGTCGACGGCGAGCGAGAGGGGCGGGAGCCACGTGTTTGATATCCAGGCGTTCCGGGATAACATGGACGAGGACGAGATTGTGGACTTTGTTAATGTGCTGTGGGTTGAGAGGGTGGGAGGAGTGTGCTACCGGAGGGGGCTGGGGCATGTCGTGCAGCGGGTTTGGGATGCGGTTGCGAGGGATCGGGTTGAGATATTACTTGGGTAGGGTGTGCCTTGGTCGTGGGTTGAAAATGAGGTGGAAGTTTGTTCTGATAGTTGTAGTGACCATGATCTTGGATGGGTGGTCATCTGAGGTGATTTATACTTAGCGGGTGGTTGACTTGACGATGGGTTGGCAACGTAGTTGAGGGCACATCTAGGTGATGCCTTTTTTGTGGCTCACGATGCTTGGCGGTCTGAGCACGGAAACAAGCTCTACTCTTCGGATTTCACAATCACCCAATTATGATGAATCTGTTATGCCAGACTCTCAGTTCCGCCATCATACTGTCCTGCGCAGTCATTAAGCCACACATGGCCAATGCTTATTAACGCTTAGCTGCTTTCTATTGAACTGAACGACGGTTGCAGATCACCTCAAAGTCTCGCGGAGCTTACTCCAGAAGCCCCAATCATGTATCCCCGCTTGATCCAGGAACGGCGCAGATCCACGTGGTTCATCCCACGTCAATTGTCCGAACCTGGAGCTAAATCTGAAGTTGGGGGGTCACATGGTAGGATTCGAGATTATCCATTGGATCTGCCCATGAATCCCATGTTCAGGGGATGGGTATTTTAGTGTTCTTCAATGTTTTGCATTCATGTGCTAGTCGAGCTTGACCGCCTAGATACTTTGCTCCTCCTCCCCTCACCGACGGACTTGTCAATCATGTTTGTGCGTGGTATGAGGATTGACTCGTTAGTCCCGTCACGATTGACGGAATGCACAGCCAATTCTTCTGAGCAATATGGAGGATTGCATTACATTGAAGCTCAGGTTGGCTTGTTCTTTAGGAAGAAAGCTGCATTACTGTGGTTTTGCTGCTCTGCTGCGCTTGGGTTCCTCGCTGGATGGCCGCATCTTACAATGACGTCAAACCAGCCCCCATGCCAACACTCACGCCGACGGATCAGGCGACGATAAGAGGGCAACACACCTCACTCTCGCATGCTTTCTTAACTCAAATGCCAACTCAGCAATTCTGTATTCGTTGTGACCTTGATAGATTCATTTAGCTGCGCAATCCAGTAATGCTATTCAGAGGTTAGGCCATCAGCAGCGCGAGCGCTTCATTCAATCGTTCAGCGGTGCACTTTAATTGACCACGACAAAAAGGGATGGCTATGGCTTGACCCGACCAAAGTTTGCGACTTGTGTGTGTCGGTACTCACCACTAATTGTCGGTGGGCAGCAGAAAGGAGTGCCCATGGGATGGGTCAAAAATTGCTACATCTCTTATTCATTTCGGCCCAGGTTAACGCCTAACTCATCTGTGTGATTGAGACACACTATCCACGACCAATTGCCAAACTACATCACCGTGCAAAAGAGATTGGTATTCGCACGAATACGCAAAAAACTGATCGTGGCAGGGCTCGAACCTGCGACCTCTCGCGGACATCAATGTGAGGCGAGAATCTTAACCAACTAGAACACACGACCTGGTTGAACTTTTCGCCCGATTCTGAGCCTGAGTTCCCTCGCGGAGCGCGCATGCTTGATCACAGCAAGGTTTCGTTGACTTGGGCCTCATTGAGCTGAGCAGAACCGGAACATGCCTCAGCACAACTACATACAATTTTGCATGAGCTGAGAAACTCGATGGCATTCATCGATTGAGAAAGAGAGAGAGACAGCTTCCCTTTTCATCTGGTTTTTGCTCTTAGTTTTTGTTGCGAGGTTGATCGCTGGATGTTGCTCCATAACAAGCGTCCAACTTCTGCTCAACAGGGCACATCACATATCCGTCTTCAAAACATATAAATCATCCTAGTCTCAATCATAGGTGAGCATTGAGACTCAGTAGTTCTTGATAGAAGCTTGCTTTGACTGAAATGAAAGCATTGAAAGCAGCTCAAACATCACGACAGCTTTGAACGCCGATCCAAAAAGTTAGGCCGGTACCGGGGCGAACCCCACCACCCACGCAAAACCTGAACAGGAGGGGTTGAGTTCAGTGTGACAACAGCGGATCCGTGGTGACGCATCTCGAAGAGGAACCTCCTTCAACACCATTCAGCCACGGCTAAAAAAGCACGCAAATACACGCAGATATGACTCGATTCAGGCCGTGTATAGACCTGCACGCGGGGCAGGTCAAGCAGATCGTCGGCGGCACGCTGGACAGCACGACGGCGGAGCTCAAGACCAACTTCGTGTCGACGCACCCGCCGGCATACTTTGCGAAGCTCTACCGGGACAATGACCTCACGGGCGCGCATGTGATTATGCTGGGGCCGGGGAACACCGAGGCCGCGAGGGAGTCGCTCAAGGCGTGGCCGGGCGGGCTGCAGGTCGGCGGAGGCATCAACGACGGGAACGCGAGGGAGTGGGTTGAGGCGGGCGCGGAGAAGGTCATCATCACGTCGTACCTGTTCCCCGAGGGCCGGTTCAGCCAGGAAAGGCTGGACGCGGTGCTGGAGGCTCTCGGGGGCGACAGGGGCAAGCTCGTGATCGACCTGAGCTGCCGGCGGCGCGGGGACGATAGGTGGTTTGTGGCTATGAACAAGTGGCAGACCATTACGGACATGGAGGTCAACGCAGGTTGGTTTTCACGTTTGAATCAATCACTTGCTGAAGAAGTGGCTGACTGAGGTGAACAACATTTTTCCAGAATCTATCAAGCAGTTGGAGCCGTACTGCTCCGAGTTTCTCATCCACGCCGCGGACAACGAGGGTCTGCAGAAGGGCATTGACGAGAAGCTCGTGGAGAGGCTGGCGGAGTGGTGCAGCCTGCCGGTCACGTACGCAGGCGGCGGCAGGAACCTCGAGGACCTGGAGATGGTGAAGAAGCTGAGCAAGGGCAAGGTGGACCTGACGATTGGCAGCGCGCTGGACTGTTTCGGTGGCAACGGGGTCAAGCTGGAGGAGTGTGTGGAGTGGAACAAGGGCCAGCAATGAGGCAGTAGGGTAGCAGTCATATCAAAAAAAGTTTTTGGGACATTGAAAAGACACCTCTCTCTATCTTTCTCACAGAGTTGTTGAGATGACAGGCGTCACATTCGGGTGGGTGACCGTGCGGCTGGGACGAGGGCGGCGGCGTTGAGTCGTTTCAGCCAGTGCGACGCTAGACAACCGGAAGAGAAGGCGGCAGAGTAGAAAGAGAAAAAAACAACGAGTTAGTTTAGTTTCCAGTTGTAAAGTAAAACACACGATACTCCTCTTTGTTTGGTGCCCGTGGCGATACGATGAGGCTAAGGGGACTAAGAGGGCCCCGTTCTGCGAGATTTACGTACATGTGTACGTACATGGAGATGCACGATCGATGATGTGCTTCCGGCTGGGCATTTATTCTCCTTCGTGTCCGATCTTCCCCTCTCTCGCCGGGGCTGAGGAGGATGACAGAAGGAAGAGGAGGGGGAGGCAGTGGAAGGGAGGGGCAATCCGATGGGATGGGGGCAGATGGTGCACCTGGCTCGTGGAGAGGTAGATAGTGAGGATGGAGAATGGAGACAGAGACTGGAGACTGGAGGCGTCTGGACATGGGATCTTGACAGGAGGAACCACAAGGGGAGGGAGGGGGAGTCAGTCAGTTGCGGCGCGGCGCACACCGGGCCTTAGGAAAAGAGCGATGGCTTTTGCGCCGGCGGGGGCGGGGACGCAGATGGTGCAGCTTCTAGGAACAAAGTCCGGGCGATCAATTGCGCGGCTATCTTACCTTACCTTGGGTTAGCTACATGTGAAAGAGGCCGGATCATGACTTGACAGACGCAACGGTTTATAACGAAGCTAGAGAGGAAAACCTTTCAGAAGAGAGAAGAAACACGCCAGCAAAACGGACGGCTGCAGCTAAGGCATACACGAGTTGCGCAAGTGAGGGACCACGGCAAGATAAGACAGCGGGAAGACGACATCCGCTTTTCGGAGGGCATGGTGATACTCTACCAACACGCAATGCACCTCTGCAGTACCCCTAGCAACTCCATAAATGACCTGCCCAGTACGAATAGTCTTCTACGGATACATATCCCAAGCCTCGAGGCTAAAGACTAATAAACAGCCCACCAGAGACTGAGAGGGGGCCCCGTCAGACTCGACACAGATGCGATGCGCAGATAGACAGAAAGCACGACATCGTGTGCCTTGCGCCGGACAGAAGCGAGCTCTATGGAGCTGGACCAGGGACGGGAAACAAGGTGCTGGGCCACGGTGATCACGATGACTTGGACTTGGTTGAATGGCATTGTCTGATGGGATGGCGAGATCCTTGCTCTCAGCTGCCGTGTTGGCCCGGCGAATTGTGCATGTACGGCGGCTCGACAACAACAGAGGAAGCAGGTTGTTGTTTACTTTGACTCCTCGTCTGCAGCTTTTTGCCTTGCCTTGCCTTTGCCCATGCCTGGCCTTGCATACTAAGTACAATGCCCTTCCTTGCTTGGTGTCCCTGGACAGGCAGGCATCCGACCACTACACGGCTAGAGGCTTTGCCTTGCTCTCCATGTTGCTTGCTTGCTTGCTTCTTCTCCCTGCAGTGTGTTCCTTGGGTTGGCCATCGAGGCCCATTACTCGCTCGCTAAGGTCACAGAAAGAGTGGGAACGTGCGGCAGAAACAGTGGTGATGGAGTGGTGCTCCAGGCGGGTAGCTGGTGGATAGCGGCGGCCTTTGGGCCACCTGCCAACTGAAGCTGCCCCCCATCCACTGACTGCCGTGTGTGCCCCTCGTCTACGATAGGTACCTCGTAGAAGTAAATACGCCGTCGCCAGGAGCAACGCCCGCCCGACAAAGAGCTGCCTTCCTTGTTTGTTTACTTCTCCCGCACCCGCGCACCAATCACCGCTTCCCCGCCTCAACCTCGATTGCAACCGCCGCCTGCCCTTAAACAACAAGACAAACCACACCGACCAACAACACGGCCTGCTTCTTCTCTTGTTGCCTTCTCACCACCTTCCCCCCGTCGTCAGGAACGCTACTCTTATTGTTGCTGCACTTTTGGCGGCACCGCCTTTTGGTCTTTTTTTTTGTGTGCGTTGCCTGTTGTTTTGCGACCTTCTACCCGCATCCCGCCATTCACCTGAACCTTCTCCTGCTCCATTCCAGTCATCCCTCGTCAATCAATTACACCCACCAGAGCATCGGAATTTTACCACGGCAAGGAAGAAAAAGGGCAGAGCGAAAGAAGTGTCCCCACGAGACGCAATACGTCAAACATTCATTCTAGTACAACCTTTACGCATCGCGTTTTCCCCTTTGTGTCTTGCGAGCCGCTCCGAATTCTACGCCAATCCCCGAGAGCAGGATCCGCCGCAGCAAAGCCTGCCCGACCCTGAATTTCTTTTCGAGCATTCATCGCCAAACCTCATCTACTACTACGACTGTTTTCCGCCAGATGCGCCTTCGCGGCCACAGAAACATCACCTAAAATGGCATCTCAAGAGGACCCAGTAAGTGCCTCTGCCCGCAGCCCAGTGCTCATTGCATCCTCGCGACTAACACCGTCACCTCAGGTACACCCTTTGCGCATTTCCAAGGGCTCCACGGGCTCAACGGGATCACCGCCTCCCAAGGCAGCGAACCTCCCTCGCGCACTTTCAGAGTTGTCCCCTTCGGACCTTAGACGAAACTCTCCCAGCTTCAAGCAGCCATCCAAGGTAAGCGGATCGTGTCTTAGACAGCCCCCCGGCCCAGAATTTCCTCTAACAAACGCCGCGCAGAAGATGACTCTGAACACCGACTCCTCTCCATTCCAGTCGTCTCCAATGGAGACCACCACGTCACCTAGGCTGTTTTGGCAGAAGCGCAACCTCGACTCCATCAGCACCGAGACCCAGAACCTATACGGCGGTCGCCACGGCTCGCCCTCACCAACCCGTCGCACATCCATCGAACGCCTGCAAAAGGCTTCGCGCGTCAAGAATAGCAACATCCTCGCTCTCGAGCAGAAGCAGGAGTACGACCCTACCAGAGTGCCGCAGATCGAACGCCCTCTTGCCAACTACTCGGCATCCGCATATGGAGGATCAGCCGCCCCTACCGCCATCATCAACGGGCTTCGGTCCTCGGACTCTCTGAGCAGGGGTTTCGGCCACCAGCGCAACAACAGCAGCAAGTCGAATATCCCCATCTACAGCCCGGCAACGAGCCCGACCAAGGCTTCTGGCGACGCCACTCCAATGCAAGCCACCTTCTCCAGCCCCCCCAAGAGCCCTGGCAAGGAGCCCGGATCACCCATGAAGTCGTCGCTCTCTCGCAGCAACTTCAAGAGCAGCTTCGACCCCGAGACCGGCACATGGTCTGCCGATACCTCCTTTGACGACCGCGAGCTTCCCTCCGGCAAATCCCTCCACAGGCACGCCAAGAGCGTCACCTTCGACGCGGCGCCGCCCCAGATTAACGAGTATGAGATGGCCACACCCGACATTTCATCCATCGGATCCAACTCCCGCGAGGGCAGCTTCGATTCTATGGATGACGAGGATGATGACGAGGAGCACTACCATCTCGG